CCATAGCAGTGACCTCTGACCCCCCCTCCCCCACCAGCAGTGTCCTCTGCCTTCCCCCTTCCTTCCCATAGCAGTGTCCCTAGTATCCTACCTGTGTACAGAAGAGTGGAAGGCAGCACATTTCTGGACTGACAGCGTCATATTAACAAGCTGGTGATTGGTTGCTAGGACTGCCCTAGCAATCAATCACCTGCAGGTTAATGTGACATGTTAATTTGGCCAGCTCCTCCTCCCGCCCTCTGTTCTGAGTTGTGCTGGCTTTCGCTCTTCGCTGTGCATTGGGGAAGACCGTGGCAGAGGAGGCGGGGGGGTGAGAAGAACTGGCACCTAAAAGGTGGGGGTTGGCGGCGCAGGGACCTGTTCGTGGTCTATCTGTCACCTGCCTGCAGTCTACAGGTAGACACACGATCGATGGGTTTCCAACCCCTGCCTAAGAGGCTCCAGAAACAAAATAAATAAATAAATGCACGTATTTTTTTTTTTTTTTACCTGCAAAAAAATGTGCATTTATTATTTTTTGTTAAAAGGTGAACTTATCCTTTTAAAAAATATATAATATTTGGGGGTTCTAACTAATTTTCTACCAAAAAATACTGATTGTTACACGTAAACAAACAGTGCCAGAAATGGCCTGGAGCTGCAAGTGGGTAATAAAAAAGATTCCCCTGCCTTCTACTCTCCTCTCTCTCACATTTGGATATTATTTTTACTTTTTCAAACTTAAAGTGATTTTAAAGGTTCCTTCCCCCTGCCAAGTGGTTTGCTGTGGGGGGCACTCATGCGTGCTCACTCCCTAGCCGATTCTGTGTGTCTATTGACACACAGAGCATGGCTCAGCCCTGCCCCTCACTCCCTCCTATTTAGCTGTGATTGACAGCAGCAGGAGCCAGTGGCTCCTACGGCTGTCTCTGAGCCAATGAAGAGAGAGACACTGCTCTTGGCTGGATGGAGATTGTGCTCAGATAAGAATATGGGGGGCTGAGGGGGGAGCTGCATGCAGAAGGCTTACCTTAATGCATAGAATGCATTAAAGTAAATAACTTTTCGGCTTTAAACTTACTTCAGAGCTGATCTAAACCCACAAAGATATTCATCGCTACTTTCCAGTGTTGTGGCAGTTACACTTCTTGCTGGCTGCTGCATCTTCTCCTACGGTGCTGGGTTTTCAGCTTCTTGATTGGCCAAGGGAGGGTGACATCATCCCATACGTGCACAGGAATCGGCAGCCAAGGAATTAAACCCCCTGTAGCACTTGGACACTTCATAAGGCGTGATATACACTATATTGCCAAAAGTATTGGGCCTCCTGCCTTTACACGCACATGAACTTTAATGGCATCCCAGTCTTAGTCCGTAGGGTTCAATTTTGAGTCGTCCCGCCCTTTGCAGCTATAACAGCTTCAACTCTTCTGGGAAGGCTGTCCACAAGGTTTAGGAGTGTGTCTATGGGAATGTTTGACCATTCTTCCAGAAGCACATTTGTGAGGTCAGGCACTGATGTTGGACGAGAAGGCCTGGCTCACAGTCTCCACTATAATTCATCCCAAAGGTGTTCTATCGGGTTGAGGTCAGGACTCTGTGCAGGCTAGTCAAGTTCCTCCACCCGAAATTCACTCATCCATGTCTTTATGGACCTTGCTTTGTGATCTGGTGCGCAGTCATGTTGGAATAGTAAGGGGCCATCCCCAAACTATTCCCAACAAGCTGGGAGCATGAAATTATCCAAAATGTTTTGGTAGGGTGACGCCTTAAGAGTTCCCTTTACTGGAACTAAGGGGCCAAGCCCAACCCCTGAAAAACAACCCCACTCCATAATCCGCCCCCCCCACACCCCCTAACTTTACACTTGGCACAATTCATTCAGGCAAGTACTGTTCTCCTGGCAACCGCCAAACCCAGACTCGTCTATCAGATCAGCTTGATTCGTCAGTCCAGAGAACACGTCTCCACTGCTCTAGAGTCCAGTGGCGGCACTGTTGTGTGCTAATCTGAAGGCCACACAATGTTTGGATGTATTTAGCTATTGACTCTGCAGACAGTTGGCTACTTCTGTGTGCTTCAGCATGCGCTGACCCCGCTCTGTCATGTTACGTGGCCTACCACTTCATGGCTGAGTTGCCGTTGTTCCCAGTTGCTTCCACTTTGTTATAATCCCACTGACAGTTGACTGTGGAATATTTAGTAGCAAGGAAATTTCACAGATGGACTTATTGTACAGGTGGGAACCTATCACTCTACCACGCTTGAATTCACTGAGCTCCTGAGAGCGACCCATTCTTTCACAAATGTTTGTAGAAGCAGTCTGCATGCCTAGGTGCTTGATTGTATACACCTGTGGCCATTGAGGTGATTGGAATACCTAAATCCAATGATTTGGATGGGTGTCCCAATACTTTTGGCTATATAGTGTATGTGTTCATGTTGCAGTGGATCTATCCTTTTTTTTTAACTCTATTGTACAATGCATTGGAAGTGACATTCAAAATGACTGGCACTACACACAGAGCATTATGGTGAGCCCGTCTATAGTCGGGACCCGAGGAGAGTACAACGGGAGGCTGGGGGAGAGCAGCCAGGGATCTCGGGAGCCCTCTGGAGTTGATCATCACTTCCCATGCATCCAGGGCGGAGCCTGAAGAGTCCAGGTGAAAGTTTGGTAGGCAAAAAGATGTGCAGAATCCTTTCACAAAGATAGATATCGGTTTCCTTTGGACAGTATCCTTGGTGGTGCGGTGGTTCCTAGTAAAGTTGATACCCACAAGCCTGTGTGACCTTTCTTTGATTAGAAGCTCAATTATGACTGGTAAGCTTGCATTTTTACTGTTGAGGTGGTGGTCTTCACTAATTTTCTGAGCACTTTTATGGTTCTTTTTATGCAGTTTTTTTGGTATTTGATTTGCTCCACATAGAGCAGATGCTTTATGAATATGCACAGTAACGCACATGTTGATGCAATGCACAGGTGAGCGTGGTCCCTGATGAAATCTTTGCCAAATACACATCTAGAATGGGAAGCCTGATAGGTGATGCTACAGAAGTACCCCGCACTTTGCTGTCACTGATCTGGCTTTTGAACTCTTTGAACTGGCAGGCAAAGCTAATCTCTCTATAGTGTAAAAGCTGCTCGTGAATCCAACTCGGGGTGATGACATTGTGTTTTATTGTATCGGACTGCTGGGTACTTTCTGGTGCAATGTGATGCCCAGTGAAACAAGCTCGTTGACCTTTGTCCCCATGTGTGTGTTTGTATGTGGATGTTGACTGTTTTGCTTTATATTCAGCTGCATTATGTAGACAATAGAACAGAAATGAAATGCATTTAGAGCCATTTAATGTAAAAAAAAAAAGTTGATTGAATAATCCTTTGATTCCTTATCTATAGTGCAAGGATCACAGCAAACTGTTTTGTAGATTTGTACCTGCTTCTGTTCTATAGATATTGAAATAGGTCATTGGAATTCATATGCTGAAAGTGGGAAGCTCTTTATTTTGTGACATCATCAGTTCCAAGTGCTGTCCATCAAGAACATGACACTTCCTTAGTATCCCTCTTGACCAGAAACTCCCTTGACAAGTATCTTTCGAAAGATATAATGTCCAGCAATGTTACACTGAGTGTTCTCAGTGTTGAAGACTCTCTTGGAATGACCTTGTGACAGCCTTGGAGTTGGGCTTTAACCCCTTCCCACCCACCTTAGTGTTCCTTTAAACAGCTCAGAACAAAATTGCACAATCCCAACGCACACGTTTCTGCATCAAGTGTAAGTGGGTGCTGCAGCGACCATCTGCTGGAACCGAGAAGAATCAAACCGAGAAGAATGTCACCAGCACACCGAGGATCTCCAGTATGGGCCCAAAGCTTTAATAAGCAATCCCATAGTTACAGCAAGAGCAACGTTTCGAAGTCCTGCAGGACCCCTTCATCAGGCATGTTCCTGATAAAAGGGTCCTGTGAGACTCTGAAACGTTGCTCTTGCTGTAACTCTGTGATTGCTTTTTAACCACTTACCCTCATGAGGATTTACCCCCCCCCCCCCTTCCTAACCAGGACATGTTTTGCGTTCCGGCGCTGCATTACTTTAACTGACATGGTCATGCCACGCTGCACCCAAATTAAATTTACGTCCTTTTTTTTTCCCATGAATTGAGTTTTAAAAGCTTTCTGCACTATAAAAAAAAAATGACCAACAATTTTGAGAAAAAAACAATATTTTTTACTTTTTGCTATTAATCAATTCCAAAATGGCGCTATAGCCGAATGACGGCTACCTCATGGTTGTACAGTTGTCACAGCTGAGGGAAGTACTGCCAATAACCAGCAATTGTCAGATGATGGATAGGCACCGATGATCAGTGCCCAGTAGTGCCACCCATCAGTGCCCAGCAGTGCTGCCAGTCAGTGTCCAGCAGTGCCACCCATCAGTGCCCATCATTGTATATCAGTGCAGCATCATCAGTGCCAGCTCATCAGTTCCGCCTATCAGTGCTGCCTATCCGTGCCGCCTGTCAGTGCCCATCAGTGCTGCCTCATCAACACACATCAGTGAAAGAGAAAAATTACCTGTTTGCAAAATTTTATAATAGAAACAAAGAAAAACTTTTTTTTGTTGGTTATAGCGCAAAAAATAAAACACCCAGCTGCGATTAAATACCACCAAAAGAAAGCTCTACTTGTGTGAAAAAAATTATAAAAATTTTATATGGGTGCAGTGTTGCATGACCATGCAATTGTCATTCAAACCGCTGAAAGCCGAAAATTGGCCTGGGCAGGAAGGGTGTAAAAGTGCTCGTTAGGCAAGTGGTTAAACATGTCCAGTAAAAAAAAATAAAATTTAGTCATAAATTTAATCCAAAATGTATTCTGCTACATGTCTTTGCTAAAAAAAAAAAAAAATCCCAATACGTGAAAATGAATTGGTTTACGTGAAAGTTATAGTGTTTACAAAATGGCGGGAAAGATACTGGAATTGTTAAAACATTTTTACTAGTAATGGTGGCGATCCGCAACTTATAGCGAGACTGCGGCAGGCATTCTGACACTGGGGGGGAACTGACTTGGTGTCACTGGCATCCTCAGTGACACCAATACAGTGATCAGTGCTAAAAAAAAAAAGCACTGACCTTGTACTAATGGCACTGGACAGGAAGGGGTTAACATATGGGGCACTGTGTGCTGGGTGTGTTTTACTATGGGGCCGTGTGTTTGTTCTTCACTGTAATCACACTGCTTTGCATGTCACTGTAATCACACTGCTTTGCATGTCACTGTAATCACACACTGCAAAAGCAGTGTGCAAGAGCTGACAGGGAGAACTATTTTGTTTACAAACAGCTCTCTTTCCCATCGGAAATGCTCGGCAATCACCGGGCACCGGCAAGTAATCACCATCCGGGACCCGGTGATTGACAGCCGCGGACGTGACTTGCGGCGCAGATAGGGCACGCACGCGGCCCCTACCCTGAAATGCTAAATCACGTATATATATATATACGTGATTTTGCGCACCGCTGCTGCCCTGTAGCAGGAAGGATTGGGAATTATGTGAGCACTGTCACAGTGTCCCCATGAGTGGAAGCCAGTCCCGACTGATACTGATTTTAAACGAGAAAAGAACAAACAGAGGGCGCACTGGCCTAGTGCATTACCATAAAAAATGTTTAATAAAAAATAAAGTAGGTTTTGTACTCACAAACGACAATATAGTCAAGGCACATCATAAAGAACAGCTGGGTCAACACCGCACTGAGTAAGAGTCCGCAATAGGGAGTGTAGACATCCAATAGGCTGACGCGTTTCGAGGACTTGCCTCTTCCTCAGAGCCAACTGACCAAATGTCTGCTCTCTCTTTTATATGCTCACTAAAAGTTGAACCAAAGGTCACATGGGCCGTCCTGAACACTTCCCTATGCAGGTGGAGGAGTCACAGGGGCAATTGACATAGTATAAGTAAACACAAAAGATCTATAAAAATATATATGTATAAATAAAACCATTGGTCTGGACAAGACACATAACATGACTAAAGATTTTGGTGAGTAATTGGGCCATTTATTTTTTTTTACAGTGGTCACATGATCGCAGATCCCTGCCACCTCCTGGTGCTCAGAACTGTTAATAGGACACCAGGGCAGGCAGGAAGGGGTTAAGTGCATCTACTGCTTTGCTCTGCCTGTAAAAAACACAGGTTCACATTGAAATGTACTTCAACAAAATGGGAATAGAAGGGAAATTTTGTAATTGAGAAGCCTGCTCTAGTGGCAGCTGTCTAGGAGGGAATTATCCCACACTTTGGAGCAATTTCTTCTCACTTTATGTCTCTACAACAGAAAGTGAAGGGAAATCTCCCCAATCAGTTCTCATTATCCTACGCTCTATTTAAAACTTAGAAAATAAAGTTTTGGCTAGAAATACACTTTAATCTTCCTTTTCAACCTTTTCATATGTAAACAGAAATAGAAAGGTTGCAAAGGGATATTAGTAGATTTATTTGGCAGGACAAAAGCCCTAGGGTTTATAGACATTTTCTTTATCTCTCCCAGTGCCGAGGGGGTCTTGGCCTTCCCAATTTTAGGCTCTATTTTCTGTCTGCTAGATTTTCCCAACTAGCCCAGTGGCATATTGTGCATTTTAGGGTCCCATGAATCCAATTTGAAACCTGTTCAGTACATCCATATTGCCTCTTATGGTCTTCTCCTATAGTATATCATATCCGGCATTGGTCTTTCACTCCCTTCGCCTCTTGTCCAGTTATAAGACTAAGTTTGGTCTGGCCTCCCTAGCCTCCCCGTTGACCTCCATTTTGGGTGACCCTTTGTTCCCTGCGTTTTTTTCCAATTGATCAACCGTTCTCTTGGTGGAGAGCTAATCGTTGGATGCATTTCAGGGTGGAGCTTTCAGCTCGTTTGCAAAACGCCACCAATCAGTGCCCATTTTCCATCATGATCTTCTACGCGATCTTCAAATTAGACATTTTTATGCTTCTAGTTATGCCCTCACTCCCACCTCTCCTAAAACCTTTTATGAGCGAATCTGTAGTTTCATCCCTATAGGAAAGGGCCTAATTTCTGACATTTATAGCTTCTTAGTTAGTGCTATAGCTCCTGAGTCCCTTCCTTTTATAGGTGCAAATGGGAAGAGGATTGTACTTTACAATGCTCTACACAAGATTGGGAGACATTCTCTGAGCATGTACACAATCTCACATTGTTAGGGAGATTTAACTAGATGGTATACCCCGGCTAGCATCCATGCTGTCTTCCCTAACGCCTCACCACTATGCTTTCGGAGCTGTCCTACTCAAGGCACATTGTATCATATGTTTTGGTCCTGTGAAGTGTTGCAACCTGTGTGCCACAGGGTTCCTGAGAGAGCTACCAAGAGTTTGGGTAGACAACTTCAATAGATGACATCTATGTGTTTGCTGTTAAACTCTATTACCTGCGCCACATGCCATGAGGAACACCTTGTCCATACTGTTTGCGTTGCAACAATTTGTGCTATAGTCCTTTACTGGAAATCCAGTGTGGTTCCATTTTCTCTTATTGTTGATAGAGTAGATTCTGCAATGTTCATGTAACACCATATGTTATTTGATACAATGCACCTCTTTGATGCCAAATGGAATGCCTGAAAGACCTCCCGCTCTTCTTTTCTGTAATGGTTGTTGTTTTAATGATTACCTTACATTGAGCTGCTCATTTTGTGTTATTTACTATGTCGTATGCTACATAGCATGCTTTATTTGCAACCTTATGATGTTCTATGATAATGACCATATGGCTGTTATCTGTGCATTGAACTAATTGTATTTCCTGAAAACTTCGTATTCTCTTTTGTGATATTTTGTATGATCCTGATGTGTTGTAGAAATTGGCCTATATATATATATATATATATATATATATATATATATATATATATAATATATATATATATATATATATATATATATTCATTTATATTTTTCATTCATATTTCAAGAAATTTCATTACTTTTCTATCCTGTAAAAGTAAAATAATATAAACTGTTATTTATTTCATTCTGTTGTATTTGTAGGAAGTGTTAAATCTGTATCATGGTAAAGAAAAAAGGACGGAACCCCCCAACACCTGAGCCAGTGGATACAGGTACCGATAGAAATAGCTGCTCCGCAGGCGCATAATTCATTCACAGAGATCTGTGAGAGAGACTTGTAGCTCCCAAGGGACTGTTCAGCACCCCCATAGTTTGACACTTCCTGCAGCTCAGTAAAGCTGGTCATAGATGATGTGATCTTCTTTTGTGCACCAATGGGGGAATCCCTCCCGTGGAGCTATAGTGTTCTCCCAGTGAGGGGGGGGGGGAGCTGTCCCCACTGGGAGAACATAGTGATATTTGCTAACGGCCATAGCTGCTGGCAATAATTGCATAAAAAAAATCCAACAGGCTGGTTGTACCCAAGTTGTACAACAATCAAATAGTGTGCAATCTGTCTGCTCATAGTCCCTGTTGAATCAGCCGAGATTCAACCATTTATGGCCAGCTTAACTAAAAACTCATACAGAGGTATGGGCAGAGAGCTTTAGGAAACATCTGCAGGAGTCTGATTTTGCACCTGCTATCCATTGATTGAGGGTGCAACACTTTGCATTTATTATTGTTTTGTTTTGGGTGAACTTAGACTTTTAATATATGGAACACATAACAATTTTTATTGTTACTTGCCTTATTAAAGGAGACATTTGGGATTTATAAATAAACATCTACACCAACCTATATGCTGCAGCTGTCCCATATCAGCTCTAAAACAGAACTGAGCAAGCACATGACCACTGATCGCTCAGTTCTCGGCTTGCTCAGAGTGGACAGCAGTAATTATCAGTCACTGTTCTCCACTGTGCCCCTCCAGGGCTCACTGGAGTTATGGGCTGGATAGGGGGTGAGCACAGCTGGCTTCAGCTCTAATCCTAGAAACACGTGTAATATATTGTTTCTTACCAGTCCTTAGATGTTTTGGCTGCATTTGTTTTCTTTCAGGCTAGGAACACTTTCAGAAATTACAGAAAATACTTGTCGATCTTGCCAGAAATGTAGTTTCTTTGTCCCTTCCTGTGAACTGAACTGAAAGCAGAAACAACCCTATCTATAGTGTGCAGACTACCAGTCCCATCAATCCACCATGTAATGGAGATGAGTAAAGGCAGACAGATAAGTTTGAAATCCAAAGATACAATGGCGGAATGAGTGTAGACACAAAGGGACAGGAAGTGTGTTATTTGCAGGATCACCCAGTGTAAATAAAGGGCAATAAGTATGAATAAAGAAAATGGCAACTGGCAGACAAATTGTAACATCTCCAGCATTGCTTGTACTCATTATCTTGGCTGACAGCCTTCATTCATGAAGCAGTGTATTTGAGCCCACAGTATATTTACTCCTAAGTGCTTGCTTTTCTTTTCTCAGAACCCACATGTAAGCATATCCGGAAGGGCTTGGAGGAAGGGGCAGTGAAGAGGGCTTTGGTGAATGTGGACTGGACGCTATGTCAGGACTGCCAAGCCGAGACCAAGGAGAGCACAAATAATGAGGAAGAAGAAGAGCAGACAGAAGCACAAGTGATCTGGCTATGTCTGAAATGTGGACACAGGGTAAGACTCTCATCCATTACAGTACATTTGTCTTCCAGGAAAAGAAAACACCCACTGTATGCTAGGAACCTTTCTTTCTTTTAGTAGTAGAACCACCCTAAAGTTGAACTAAATTCTCTGAATCACGATTAACTATTTTTAATCCTTATGCTGGTAGCATTAGTAAATAGATAGGAAGGCATATTCTAATTCCATAAACTTTTTTTTTTTTTTTTTTTTTAAGTTTCTTCAGTTGCTTCCTGGTTTCTAGCCTAGGCCAAAAATATGTCATACATCCAGGAGTCTTCATGGATACTTTTTTTTTTTTTTTCCTTTTTCCTTTCATCTGGAGGAGGGGCTTTCGCAGCAAAGCACACCCTCCTGCCTGCATGTCTAAGCTAAGGGCAGATGGAATCCAGGAAGCAAATGCTACATGAATCATGTGCCTTTACTCAAGATGGCCACGGCAGAAATGCTAGAGGTGTTTTTCAAAGTGATTTTTCAACAAAATAAAGCATGGAGACATGGATGGATGAGTTTGCATTGAATAGTAAAAAGGATCTAATTAGGGTTGTCATTTTGTGGTGCTGAGATACTGTTATGTTCCACTTTAACCTGCTACAGCTCAAATCTGTTGCTTCTAGGTAAGTAGACTCTCCCCCTTGCTTTTGCAGAGTGAAGTGTTCATTGCCTTTGTGACCAATACCCAGCTTGATTTCCATCACATGAGGCAGAGAGGGTGCCTGACAGTGTACATGAATTTACTATTCTTTGAGCA